GGTAATGAGTGGGGGAAAGAGGAGCCTCTTAAAAAAGAAGTTACAGGTCTGTGACAGCCAGAAATCTTGCTTGTTTGTAGGTGACCAAATACTTATTTTCCACCATTATTTGCAAAAAATTCTTTAAAAGTCAGACAAAATGATTTTCTCAAATTTTGTTTCACATTTTGTCTCTCATAGTTGAGGTCTACCTAAGATGTCAATTACAGGCCTCTCTCATCTTTTTAAGTGGGAGAACTTGCACAATTGGTGACTGACTAAATACTTATTTTCCCCACTGTAACTCTGGTTTTACCTAGCCTATCCACACAAATTAAAAACTGATTTATAGTTTAAAGTCAAGGTTCACATTTTACTTTATTTTGATGTAAAAACACCTTTTCTGTCAGGCGAGCTGGTGTCCCGCATCACCACGGACACCAACGACATGAGCGAGGCCCTGAGCGAGAAGCTGAGCCTGGTGATGTGGTACACGGCCCGCTTCGGCTTCCTCCTGTTCTTCATGCTGAGCCAGTCGTGGAAAATGACCCTGCTCACCTGCATGGGCCTCCCCATCATCTGGGTCATCCCCAAACTCACCGGACACTTCCACCAGGTGACCTCACTTAGAAACAAACCTCTGAAAACTTCCCGAACTGATGAAAAGAGGCGGGTTTTTCTCAAAACGGTGCATTAAATGACCTTTTTGTTTGGTCTCTTTGTGTTATTAGACCATTGCTGTGAAGGTGCAGGAGTCTCTGGCCAAAGCCAACCAGGTGGCCACAGAGACGTTCTCCTGCATGAAGACGGTGAGGAGTTTTGCCAATGAAGACGGTGAGACGGAGAAGTACAGGAGGCGGCTGGAGGACACCTACTCTCTGAATAAAAAGGAGGCGGTTGCGTACGCAGCTTCCACCTGGGCCAACAGCGTGAGTTTGACACCAACCGCTTTACTACATGTTGCCAGTGGCGCCTGCAGAGAAATTTTCAGGGGCGGCTACTGAAAAACCAGGGGTGGCACACCAAAACTAATATCTAAAACAGAAAATTTATGACGTGTTTGTAAAAATGACCAATTGAAAACTATGGAAATATAAAGCTATGGATTTTGCCAACAGATGTTCAATTTGTAATTTTACAGATAATATCACTGATTTTATGACATTCAGAGACAAAAAACAATAGTAAGTGTTTGTAATGTTAGGGGGGCCCACTGGCGGGGGGTCTGGGGGTCCTCCCGCAGAAATTTTTAAAGAAGTAAATGCCACTTCCTGCATTCTGGTGTTTTTTAACAGGTTGTTAAACAGATTTTTACTTACATAGGAAAACACTTAATGTGAGTATTCTACAGGTAAAATGAAATAAATTTATTTGTTAAGTAAGAGAAACACTGAATGAACTAATGTTTTATGGTAAATGTGGATTTAAATGAATTAAATTTTAAATTTGATGGGGACAGTTCCCTTCAAAAATGATTGTCATTAAAATACATATTTTAAAGACATTTACAAAGAACAAGCTTTTTAAATTTTAAAGGCATCACCTCTTCTATGTATGTTAAAAGTTTTATTTGCTTGTTGATGTTTACTTTTGTGAAGAAAAACTTTGATTATAAAACCCCAAAACTGGAAACAAAGACTAAAACAAGCACAATTACAAACTACATCTACTGTAGTGTTATCCCAAATTATTAAGTTATTTGCTTTTTATTGTCATACAATAAATATGATTTTGGTCTGTGAGAGAAAACTGGAGGACCTGGGGAGCAGAAATTTTATCTAGCAACCTTCTTCCTTAGAGGAAATATGTTGCTCTACCAACTGTGCCACTGTACTACCTAATTTTATATTTATAATTATTAAAATTATTTAATTACTATTTGATTAAAATATATCTATGAATATAACCTCATGAGAACCTCCATCTTTATTTGAGAACATTGGTTTTAGACTGGTCTGACTGTCCTTATTCAGAGGAGCTACATTTTAATTTTAATTAAATTTTTTATTTTAAGTAAAATGTTTTTAACTCGTTAAAAAAAATCAGTGTTTGTTTTTATATTTATGGAGTTTCTATTCCTAAATAGGTAGGGGAATTGAAAAAGGAAAAACCTGGGTACTCAAGGGGATAAAACTTGGGGGGATAAAACCCCCAATGTTGCTCTTTACTCAGAATAAACAAAACCTCTGAACACAATGTTTCCTCAGATGACCACTCTGGCCTTGAAGGTGTGTATTTTATACTACGGGGGGACGCTGGTGTCGCGGGGGGCCGTCAGCAGTGGAGACCTGGTTTCCTTTGTTCTCTACGAGCTTCAGTTTGCTTCTGCTGTTGAGGTGAAACACGAGCCAAGAAAGTGATGCACGTTGAATATAAAGTGCTCTTTTTATTTTTAGTATTCTCTGCTTCGTCTCTTCCAGGCTGTGATGCGTTATTACCCGGAGGTGAAGAAGGCCATCGGTGCCTCGGAGAAGATCTTTGAGTATCTTGACCGGGAACCTCGGATCCCACCTTCAGGCACTTTGGCTCCTGAGAATCTGCGAGGACACATTCAGTTTAAAAATATTAAATTCTCCTTTTCTAAAAATACTGATGACAACAATCTGGTGCTTAAGGTACCCTTTTTAATTTTTATTCCCTCTGTAATTTATTACACTGATTATTTGTTTCAACCTCTTCAGCCTCAAGGGGTTTTCTTGAAAAACATCTCAGAGTTTATAAAATCTACTTAAAAAGTCTTGGTATCAAAATAAAGCTAACACTTGGGAGATTTTATTAAAAGTATTAGAATCAAAGCAGCTGCTGTTTTAGAGATGGTGAGGATAACAGATTTTTTTTTAACATTTTGTCCCTCCCGCCTGGAGATTTTTTTTATTGGACTATATATAACCCATTTAAAACTATAATAAATAAAGCTAAAACCTATTGGAAACTATAAACACACATGTGGACATTACCTGTGCAAAGATTCATGCTGCTAAAATAAACTAGAACATATTTACAGAGGTTTTAATGAAATAACTGATGTTTTGTCATTCTGCACAGGACAGATCATGTTGGTACCATCAATAATTAAGAAGTCTGAGGGTTTTTGTTTTGCAAAAGTTATTTATTTTTTCCTTACTTGCCCGAAAAGACTTGTTTTTACAAAAGAGGGGCACTGCAAAAAATAAAAAATAAAAATCTCACATCAATCTCAGAATTCTGAGATTAAAATCAGAATTTTTTTTCATTGGCCCTAATCCTCTCATATATATATTGTATGAAACAATGAGAAACAGTCAAAATCAAGTAAAAAAAAAAAAAACTTTCAACACACTTTACATCATATTTTAGTGTCTGTCTTGACTTGCTTTTTAAAAAAAACGTCAAATTTTTTTTTTTATAAATGTGCATTTACGCCACTTTGTACAATTTCTTTACTTTCTGATTCAGCTGCTTGACATTGAAATTGTTTAATTAGCTTTGAGCCAAGATTCTGGGGTTTCTGTTGATAGCAGACGTGTCCAGGTTCAACACAGAAACAGGAAACAGGAAATGCTGTTTTGCCCTCAGTAAGAGGTTAACATATGATCTCATGTCACCAGGATGTGTCTCTGGAAGTGAAGCCGGGTCGGATCACCGCTCTCGTTGGTCTGAACCGATCAGGAAAGACCACCTGCGTCAAACTGCTGGAGAGGTTCTACCAGCCGCGGTCAGGAGAGATCCTGCTGGACGGAGAACCACTGCAGACATACAGTGACGAGTTCCTGCGGAGGAAGGTCCGTCAGTTATTAATTCAAACAGCGCAACTCTAAAGCATTTTTATTTTGAAAAATGATACATTTTTATCGTGAGATTTTAGTATGTTTTACACAAAGAATGTTTCTTGTTCTAAAATAAAATAAAAAGCCAGGTAGATACTTTGTTATGCTGAATCACAACAATTTGTTATATTTGTGGAAGTTAAATAACCATTAAATGTTTAATTCTGTGGCTGTTTTATTAGTTTATTCATTTTTCAGTCACTTTATCATCATTTTAGGTTATTAAATAAGGTTAGAATGAAAATGTGGAATTCAGAAAAACCTGAAAATTGAAATTTTGAAAAAAAAAAAACATTTTATAAGGTCCTGATAAAGCTTCTTGGACAAAGTCTCAGAGTGGTCATTTATTCTTTTAATAAAATGAAATGAAATTAATTTAAACTTGTCTCTGCATGAAACAGACTGCAAGAGACTGTGATTTTATTTATTTTTTTTATCCAATATCAAGGGTTCAACCTCTGCATTTTTCAGATTTCTGTTTTAAATATTGAAACAAAAAGAACATAAAGAGAGAATTTAAATAAAATAAATAAATAAATAAATAAATAAATAAATAAATAAATAAATAAATAAATAAATAAATAAATAAATAAATAAAAGTAAAAAAGAATCAGCTGGTTAAAGGGGCAAGAAAATAAATGGGGATGTATAAATCAAAAACAAGAAAAAATTTCATAAGAATCTATTAAGTGCGAAACATAAATTAAAGTCTTCCTTGTTTCTTGTCAGATTGCTGTGGTGAGCCAGGACTGTGTGCTGTTTGCTCGCTCTGTCCGGGACAACATCAAGTACGGCTGTGAGGACGCCACAGACCAGGAGATGCACCGAGCCGCTGAGCAGGCGAGCGCCCACAAGTTCATCACCGAGCTGTCTAAAGGATACGACACAGGTCCGACCCAGACACTCAGCACCTGTCAGAATAAATCATCTCAGCTAGTTTTACATTTCTTTTATGTCTTAAACTGAGGCGACTGCTTTAATCAAAAGATTTGTTTTCCTTGAATGAATGCACGTCGCCCGCTGCCTGGGAGGAGTTGAGCTGTTTTGGTCAAATCTTGTGAGACGTGATCATGTGATCTGTTAAATCTTGAAGTAAATCTAAATAAGGATGAGTCTCAGCAACTACCACTCCAAACTATAACTCATCTCTAAAACTGGTTGTGGTCAGGGGCGGAGCTAGACTTTTTTACAAGGGGTGGCCAAGGTGTTATCTTGGAGGGGCACATAAAACAAACTACTCTGGATTTGAAAATTTAAGATGGCCACCACAGCTAAATGCAAATGGTTAAATAATTCAGCTATTTTAAGATTAACTGAGCTGAAATTTGTTGTGTTGTAGCCAAGAATGTTTGTTAATCCCAATTTAAGCTAACTGCTAATGCTAATTTTACAAAAGACTATGAATCAGCCATTACTCAGCTAAAAATGTATATAGTAAAAGCCAAGAATGATATCGTATTTTTCGGACTAGCTGCACCCGCCGTTTTTTTTAAAAAACGCGCGAACATCAACATATAAGCCGCACCGGACTATAAGCCGCACCCCCCACCCCCACCAGTAAAAACAAAAATCAGTACACCCAAAAT